CCCCAAAACCCCAAAACCCCAAAACCCCAAAACCCCAAAACCCCAAAACCCCTAGTTCTGAATTTTGAATTGAACTATACATTTAATTTCAAATGCCAAACCAAAAGGCCGCTAAGAAAGTAAGTCTCGACTCAGGAATACACTAAACAATCCGAGTTTGGTTCCCAATTTAAATCTCCAGCTACCCCTAGCAACCGCAACGCTAACTCGCCGTGTATAGGATCACTACCAGTACTCCGACTTGAGCAGCATCAAGAAGGAAGGTGAGGAAGACCAATACCACTTCTACGGAGTTGTCATTGATGCTTCCTTCCCATACAAAGGTGAGAAAAGATATGTCGTCACTTGCAAAGTTGCCGACCCTTCATCCGTGGCTAAGGGAGGAAAGCTCAACACTGTCAACGTAGTGTTCTTCTCACAAAACTTCGAAGATCTTCCAATCATTCAGAGAGTCGGAGACATCGTCAGAGTCCACAGAGCCAGACTCCAGCACTACAATGATGCTAAGCAACTCAACGTGAACATGTACTACAGATCTTCTTGGTGCTTGTTCATTGGAAACGACAAGGAGGCCCCTCTCGAACCCAAGGTTGAAAACGAAGACGGAACCAACAACTATTTCAGCTACACCCCCTACAACTTCTCCGGAAAGAGTTTCACCCAAGAAGGCCATGAAACTAAGATCCTCAAGGATCTCAAGAAGTGGAGCAAAGACTACTTCTCAAACAATGATGTTGTCGAACAAGTCAAGAAAGCTGACATCGAGACTGCTATGAAAAACAAGACTGACTTCGATCTGTTGGCCAAGGTCACCGAGATCTCCGACAACGATCAGTACACAAACACTGTGTCCCTCAACGACTCCACCGGTCAAACCTGGACTGGCCACTTGTTCAAGAGAAAGTTCCCGCATTTAGTTAAGGGCGACGTTTTAAGAATTAAGTCGGTTAGCGCTAAGGAAGACAACTCATTGATCTTCTCGAGCCACTCCAACATTTTGAAGTTCTTCAGCTTCTCATCCATCCACAAGAAGCTGAAGTCCTCGATCTCCTCAGACACCCACATTAAGACTTGCGTGACCAAGATAGACAAGGCTGCTCACAACAAAATGGACATCACTCCACTCAAGAAGCTGTTCTTCAACCCAAAGAAGTCTGAGAAGCTGTTCAGATCTCAGTTCTCAGTGCTCAAGGTTGACACCAAGAACTTGGAAGACTACGTTGGTGCATTCGATGGCAAGAAGTGGCACTCTTACAAAGGTAAGAAGACCCCTAAGGATGCCGAACTTAGATGGAACATCAAGCTCATCGTCACTGACTACAAGAACCAGCAAGACGACAAAGCCTACATGATCCACTTGGACGACAACTCGTTCTTCAAGGGAATCAACCCAGCCAACTGGAGCAACGCCGCCACCAAGAAGAAGGCCGAGAAAGCCTTCTCCGTTTTGACTAACAACAAGGTCAACTATGTTGACGCAATTTTGGAAAGAGACAAGAAGAACTACCACATCAGACATACCCAATTCAAGTAAGCGGACAGCTTAAGAATTGGATAATTCATCAATTCAAATTCACTCAACGTCTTAATTCAAAAAAGGGGTTTTGGGGTTTTGGGGTTTTGGGGTTTTGGGGTTTTGGGG